ACTCAAAAAAAATTCTCATTAGTTATGGCATTCTTGTAAGCAAAAATATCGTACGGTGGAAACAAAAAAAAACACTTGGACAACCCTATTCAAATAAGTGGAATTAATAAGTTACAAGTTTCCTCAAAAAAATTATTTAGGATTCAAGGCAGGAAATAATTAAGCTAAAAGATTTTCTCTCTTTTCTTTTTGCAAGAGAAGATCAATTTTATATGGAGCATGCAGAACAACTATTTGCTAGTAGAAATGTTAAGGAACAGCAAATCATTGTCATACAAGGCACCTGTCAGAGAATCAATCAAATCAAATGATTGTACGTCTAATGATTGAACCCATTCCAAATGTGTGATTGTTTAACACCAGTTGGTTGAGTTAAGTACAGTTGTTACATCTCCACACCTCACAAGTCACAGTTGTATCTTCTTCTCTCTAACCCGTCTACCAACCCCCAAGAAAAAAAAATTATATATATAAATAAACAAAAATTAGCTTCTTTCTTTCTCCCCTACTTACACCTCCCCCACATCTCCAATCCCTTCGCCTCTACATACTACATGTCAGATTTGGTCAAACACTCACTGAGATTTTTTTCTCATCTATACAACTCAAACCTTTAAATTAGGAACAATTCAGATAAGAAACGATCCATCCGAAGAACTTTTCTCCCTCTCTGTTTTTTTTTTTCCTTAAAATTAAAAAAAATTATGGACATCAACTAATTCAGCCTATGTATGTATACCAACCGAGGAAAAAAAAAGACAAAAAACATGATTTTACATTGTTGAGTGAGACCTGCCATGGGTGATGGGTCGGCTCGAGCCGAGGCCGAAGCCGAAGCCTAAGCCGAGTTCGCGGGTGTGGAACGGGCTCGGATCGTCGGACTCGGAGCGCGACCGCGACCGGGACAGGTCGGAGCCGCCGTGCCGGGAGCTGTTCTGCCCGCCGGCGGCCGCGGCGGCGCCGGCCACGACGGACTCCTCGCACAGAGTGACGGCCCACCCAGCTCCGCCACAACCTCGGACATGATGGGCCTCGCGCGGCCCCGTGGCCGGACGCACTCCGAGGCGATCTTGGCGACGCGCGCCACCGCCTCCACCCCGTGCCCGCGCGGCGGCGGCACGCGCTCGTCCAGGATCCTCGTGATGTTTCCCGTCTCGACCGCCGGCACGGCGAACTCGATCACGTTCCGGGGCGACCCGCTGCCGTCCTGGCTCGTCCGGTGGATGGCCTTGCGGCCGGTGACGAGCTCCAGCAGCACCACGCCGAAGCTGTACACGTCGCTCCGCTCCGTCAGCTCCTGCAGCCGGTAGTACTCCGGGTCGATGTACCCCACCGTGCCGGCCGTGGCGGACGACGAAGCGGCGGCGGCCGCCGCCGTGCTGCCGCTGGCCAGCGACAGCCCGAAGTCCGACACCTTGGCCGTCCACTCGCCGTCGAGCAGGATGTTGGACGGCTTCACGTCGCGGTGGATGATGGCCGGCACGGCGTAGCAATGCAGGTACTCCACGCCGCGCGCCGCGTCCAGCGCCACCCGGAGCCGCGCCTCCCACGACGCGAACAGCGGCGAGTACCGGCTGCTGCTGCTGCTGCCGTGGAGGTGGTCGTGGAGCGCGCCGTGGGGCATGAACTCGAACACCAGGATGCGCTCGCCGCGCTCCTCGCAGAAGCCCAGCAGCTGCACCAGGTTGCGGTGGTTCACGCGCGACAGCAACCGGAGCTCCGCGCGGAACGCGCGCTCCGCGTCGAAGCGACGCCGCCGCCGGCCGGCGCTGCCGCTGCGCTCCGCACGCTTGATGGCCACCTCGCGCCCGTCGGGGAGCTTGGCGCGGTACACCGACCCGAAGCTGCCACTCCCGATCTTCTTCTCCTCCGAGAAGCCGTCGGTGATGCGCGACAGGTCCCGGAGCGTGAACTCCTCGCACCCTAGCGGCCGCGCCGGCCGCAGCGGCGAGACTTGCGGCGCCGGCATGACCATGGCCTCCACGTCACGGCACAGCCGCCGCGACGACGACTCCCCGAGACGCAGCGTCAGCGTCTTCTTGTTGTTGTTCCGCTTCCTGTACGCCACGAGGTAGAGCGCCACCGCGAGCACCGCGGCGCCGACGCCGCCCACGCTGAGCGCGACGGTCAGGGTCTTGGCCTTCTTCTTCCCGCTGTCGTCTCCGGTTGCCGATACCTCCCTCCCGTTGGCAATGAGGATCCTGGAAGCGTTCAGCCGCAACGGGCAGGACTGGCAGATGGCGAGCTCCTCGCCGTCCTCGGCGCCGCCGGTGCCGCAGAGCGCGCCGGAGCCGGAGATGATGTCGCAGGGGCAGGTCTTCTTGGGAGCGCAGGCGCCGGGCATGGTGCTGTTGTAGACCAGGCTGCCGCCGCTGCCGAAGCGGTCGGTCCTCCCCCAGCACGCGACGGAGTAGTTGCTCTTGAGGATCCCGCACACCGCGTCGCCGTCGGCCTCGATGGCAAGGAAATTAGTGTTCCTGTACTGGTCCGGCACCTGGACGGCGCCCCAGCACTGGACCTGGCCGCTGCCGGAGAGGATGCAGGTGGTGTCGTTGCCGAGCGCCATGGCGAGCATGTCACCCGGCAGCTCGTGCGCCGGCACGTCCGGGACGTCGCCGTCGCCCCAGCAGCCGAAGCCGCCCTCGGCGTCGACGGCGCACGCGTGGCGGTGTCCGGCGGAGACGGTCTTGAAGGCCGCGGGCGTGGGCGTCAGCGACGGCGCCGTCATGCCGCCGAAGCAGCTCATGCTGGTGTTGTCGCGCTTGTCGATGCCGCAGAGGAAGTCGTGGCCCAGCGCGATGCGGGAGAAGTCGAGGCCTTTGCGGAGGTCAAGGTGCGGCCACTCCCAGCATGTGGGGTCGTGGTCGTCGGAGAGGCCGCAGACGTGGGATCCCCCGGCGTTGAGCGAGCGGAGTGAGGGGCCCCAGTAGAGGCGGCGGCCGACGGGGCGGGACCGGTTGGCGGCGAACTCCTCGGAGAAGGACCACCAGCGCATGGCGGCGTGGCCGCCCAGCGGCGCCATGAGGCCGCACAGGAAGTCGGTCCCGGCCGCGATGGCGTTGTAGGGGATGTCCGCGGAGGGGTACACGAACTGCTGGCCGTCGGGGTGCGAGGTGCAGTGCAGCTTGGAGCCTAGTGACCCCGCTCCCCCCGCGTCATCGGCGGCGCTGCTGGTGACGAGCGCGCAGACGAGCGTGGCGTTGGGCGCGTGCGAGATGGCCACCGTGGAGAACTCCCGCGACGCCGTGCACACGTCGACGATCAGGACGACGGCGACGAGGAGGACGAGGAGGTAAAGAAGCTTCGTGCTCGTGCTCGTTCTCCTCGGGAGGAAAAGACGACGGCAGTGGCCGGCGTGGGCATGGCTAGACATTGGCGGCACCCGGAGGGAGAAGACGACATGAGCGCGCGAGGCAGCCGTTGCTTGCCCTGCCGCGGTGGACGGCGACGGCACGCGAGCGAGGAGGAAGGAATCGGGGTATCGGGAATCGAGGGGACGGGAGAGGAGGGAGAGTGGGTGCGCTGGCTTTTGCTTGGATATCGCTTTTTGTTTCTTTCTAGTAGGTGCCCGGCATTGCAGGGAAAGAAACGCGTTTCCGTGGATTTTTCCTAACATTTCTTCTTCTTTTTTCCTTTTCTTTCTTTAATTAAAGATAAAAAAACCGGCTACTCCAGGCTCCAGAGATGATGAGCTCATGATGAGGGAGGGAGGCCGGCGAGGTTGCAGGTTTTGGGATTGGTTAGGTAGACTTGACTTGGTCCGTTCAAATTCAAGTGTCAATGGAGAAGAGTGCCCTGCTGATGCTCTCAATTTTTGTCTGCCTCCTCTTCTCCCATCTTCTCTTCTCTTCAGACCACTCGCTAGCCAGTTTCTGGATCAACACGGATTTCATTTCCCCATTCTGCAGTTGTACTCTTTTCGATTCTTTCTCGTGTCATCAGCCGACCAAAGAAAAACCTACTAGAGGAAGGATTCCAGACACACGTACACATGCAAGCTCTTTGTTCCATTCCACGAGCAACCATTCATTCCCAACAAGGGTCTGCATTGGCAGTTGGGTTAGAAAGGCTTGGAACAGGCGTACTCCACCTACTTGACTGCAGTACACTCGAGGTTGGTTAGGTTTACAGCTCACTTACTCAAGAAGGGAACAACCTGTACTGCCAAAAGTCATTACGGCAAAAAAAAGTCATTCAGCAAAGATTACCCGGGATGCTTAAACATCCTTCAAGAATGGGGGTGGCACAGATTTCGTCTTCACTGTGCGCTGCCAACCAAAGCAGCAAAAGCATCACTGATCAAGGTTAGGTTAGGTTCTTACCATACAGGTGCATATCATATCAAACGACAAGCGTAAAGCGATGAGCAGAGGCTTTTGTGTATCAGTGATCACTTCTGAATCAGAGAGATGCCATGGCCAGGCCATACAGGATGTGCCACATGCCCATGCGCCATTCTTATCATCATAATAATGCACTACTAGTCTCAAGGCACCTCACATTCACAGGAGTAGGTGACAGGTTTAGAACCCGACTGATTCCGGAATGTGTTAATAATATTCACAGCAAATATTCAAGTCTGGATTGTCAATCATGTATGTATCCCAGTTGATCTTCTGTTTGGGCAAAGAGCATCTCTTTTTTCTCTGGTCAGGTGAGCAGTTGGGGAGAAGAATTTGCCCAGGCAATAAACAAACCCTGATCATCAAATTATAAGGGAGGGTGTTTCATCAGGCCAGCCCTATTCCAGGGCGGCAAGCAATGGACTTGACATGTGGCTATCACAATTAGCCTCATAGAAAAAAAAAAACAGAATTCTGAATCCTATATGCAGCCTACAGGGATGGGCAGGCCTCAACTAATCTCGCACCCACATGTATGTATAGACTAATCAGCTTCAACATTCCAACCAGCTTCCATGTCTTCAGGGTACAGCTTTGCCAAAAGTCAGCGCCGCTGCCTGTAGCTTCTCTTCACACGAAACCAAAGCTGAGAAATTCCTAACGCTTCATTATGGCCGCCATGGCTACATGCAGAGGGCTCTCCTTCACCGGAGCTCGGCGTCGCAGACGGAACAGGGAATGTCGCACCCTGAAAGTGGTGCTCCCGTTGCTGGGGAAGAGGCTCGCGCAGAGTTGAAGGAATGAAGGGTTCTGCTGCATAGGATAATCCTCCTCCATTTCAACCTCTTGGCTGGTCTCTGTCTGTCCCTGTGATGACATGACACAAAAGTGAGCTTAACCTATTCCGTAGATTCATAGGCATGACACAAAAGTGAGCTTAACCTATTCCGTAGATTCATAGGCATGCAACAATGACTTTGTGCCCACTATACTGATTGCCTCTGGTACTACTTAAGATTTGTGGGTCATACAAAGAGAAACAGCAGAGACAGTAAGCCACTAACAGGTGTACCGACGGGGCATGTGAGTGGGACCAAAACCAAATTGCCCAGGTGACACTGGAGCAGACATAGGACAAGATGAGGAATGAAGTCAAACTGTTAATCAATTGATCCCAACCACTAAGCAATATAGCTTATATACAACTTTTTTGCCTCTGCTAATCCTAGCATATTATCAAATAATAATGGCAAAATATACATGGAAACAAATGCTGAGGACGTCCTGGAAGTCTGGCTACAGTTACCTTTTGCTGGTGATGCTCAACATCAGAGTACTCGTTAGGCTGAGTGCCAGTGGGGGTGTGCTCTTCGTTACTGTTCATATATCTATACTCAGCCTGTCCTTTTTCCTCCGAGCATTGTCTGGAACCCTCGTCTTCATAGTCAGGAAGCGGCAAACTAGATGTCTGATCAATGGAGAACTTTCCAACATCTTCCATCCGAATCCCAGAATCATTTGCTTCTGATGTCTCTTTGTACACATAAGTTTGTGACAGTTGCTCCTGGCTAGAGCAAGTGTCATGATTACCAAGATTATTACCACCAGGGTTTCCCTGACATGCAAAGCATATATTAGCTCAAGGTCAAGATAGCCTGCATGCTTGAAAACACCTCTAGTCCTTTAAACTCTCAGAATAAGAACATCACAATATGTAGTACAGAGAGTAAAAAACATCGATTGTGCCATGACTAAGTATACAGTGAGAAAAGCTTCAAAGCCAAAAATGATACTTGGAACAATCCAAACAGATGTAATACATACCAAGCATCATCTTTATATGTAAGCATTACTTTGATGTTCAGATTTCAGAAAGATAGAAACAGAAAATTGGTGAATTTGGGTGCCTATTTCTTCTTAATTAAAAAGCCACCTAGTTCCTCCTAGGTTGGTCGAGTTTTTCAGAAATAGAAAGTTGCAGACAGCAGAGGCATGCTTATTCCATTGAACACACTGTAATATGAGTATACAACTTTGATGTTAGCGACAAAGAGTTGCAGATAATAGAGGCATGGTTGTTCAATTGAAAATAGTGTTATATGAGTCTATCAGAACACCAAAATGACAACAGAAACATGGAGAAATAAAACTAACGCACATTTGGGAAGACCCTTGACCAAAAAGCATAACAAAAGAGATAAAAGGATGTAGATGTGCAAGCTAACCTCCATGTCATGCTGCTCAGAAGTGTTACTATCCATTGCAGCAGTTTCATTATCTATAATAGCCAATATTTCATCCCTTTCTTTCTTACGCCTTGTAACTTGACAAACAGCACATATGCAGTCACTTTTGTGGCGATCGTTCCTGCATTCAAACACACCATGTAAGAACACCAAACAATATAGTCAATAGTGCCTTCCTACTAATTCTCCTAAAGAAAAGGAAAAAAAAAAAAAAGGAAAGTACACTAAACAACATCTTCTAAAGCGTTACAGGTACCATTGCAACTTTCAACAGCAACATCATCGGGAAAATTCTAGTGTTTGTGTTTCTAAGAGGAATAACTATTACATGCTCTTAGTGTTTAGTAGTGATGGTCTAAATCAAAACTCTCTTCAGAGAGTACTAATTCGGTGGCCAACTAACATGTTGCAAGAGAGTATAGACTGGCTATGTAACAGGTTTATTTGATCCAATATCAGAAATGCAAATGGAATAGCACTGAAAGACCTTGAAGAGATGAACAGTTTCAGAAGAGATGCATGATTTCTCATATGATCTTTGAATATCCCAGTTTTCCACTTATTCTTAACTAAATAGCTAGCCGATATGCACATGAGGGCAGTGTCACCTGTCGGCGCTGGTTTCATGTGATGGGATGGTGTTGCAGATCGCACCACCAGGAACCGAGACTTTATAAGGAACTAAATATCATGCATAAGCATCCCAAAACCAAATTGAAAATTCCATACCAGCATTTGGCATAATATAAGACTAAAAGGGTAAGTTATAACCTATCAAAGTGTTAATGTTGCAGAATGCCTAGCATGTGCTTTAATGGGGTGGGTCATCTTTTTTCCCCGTCTAATATTTGCCTTAAATTCCAACCTCTCTAACAGTAACACAATACATCATTGTCCCATTCTATATGTGTGCTGAAGTTGCATGGCACATCAGCTTCGCTGCATGATAGTTTTGCTTCTAGGATAGATTAAGAAAAATTGCATGCAGCTGCCAGGATAGATTAATGCCATACCCTGGGCGTCGCCTTTTGTTCTTAGCCTTGCTTTTTGAGTGGCCTTTGGCATCCTCATCACCAGTGTTGTCGTTGCCGCCTACACAACATCTGGGTAAATCATATATTTGAACAGATGCACATGTAAAGGTAAAAGCAAAATTATATATGGGTCGAAATGAATGACAGTTATGTGTAAGAATAGTTTTCCATTGCAACGAAATGCTTAAGGACAGTGCAATGATCGCATCTTTAGTTCATTATTATAATCCAAAAGTTCCAAAAAAAGTTCTGGCTGCATGCACATTAGATATACATGATGCAATAAGCTTGTTATCCTCACTGCTCACTGAATTATTTTAAAATAAAACATAAATGTCCTGCAAATGAATCAATGATAAAATAGACATGGATGACATATACAAAAGATCTCATTTGTACACTACTTGAAAGTTGAAATAGTAGCAGTTGACAAGAATCGAATCAAGTCCATGGTTTATGAGTCGTCGTGCTACGGGTTCTGCGCACCGGGGTCGCCACGACCTCCGCGCATATGGCGTCCGCCTTACACAATTAGGCGTCGCCTAGGCGGGGAATGGTGTCGGGCGGACGCCTATAAGACTGTGGCAGATGCCAGAAACAAATCTGTGTGGGGTGTTGAGCGTGAAAATTTGGTGGGAGTCGTCCACGCCACAAGGGAAAGGGGTGGGAATTGCCGCATATATGCTCTTCGAGTCTCTGTCGAGACGGCGGCTCTGTGTCTCCGCTAGGCTCCTCTGGGTTGCTGTCACCACCAGCCGGACGCACCTGCTGCTGGCCAGCCTAAGTGCCTGACGCCGTCGGCCCGTTCGCACCGCACCAGCCTGCCCACTTCGAGTCTCTATCGCCGTCACCCATCCGCACCTGCCGCCCGTCTGCCTAGTAAGTGCGTACGCCCCCTGCCGCCTCCTCTATTCTGGTTCCCCAAATCCCCCAGCCCCCTGCCACCTCCTCTGTTCTGCTCCCCCAAATATCCCAGCCCCCTGCCGCCTCCTCTGTTCTGGTCCCCCAAATCTCCCAGCTCCCTGCCGCTGCCTCTGTTCTGGTCTCCCAAATCTCCCAGAGACCTGCCACTTTTTGTATTTATTTGCTCTGCCTCTGCTCATGGACTGGTGCTTGTACTCTGCTCTTAGCTGGACTGGTGCATGTACTCTGTTCTTAGCTGCACTAGTATTAGTATGTGCTGGGCTCAAGAATTGGGAACAAACAAGGTATGTATGTGCTGCCATATAGTATCTAAAATTCTAGCCTACACAACGCCTTCATGGCGCCTAAAATGTGTGTATGGCGTCTCCTAGGCGTCCGCCATAAACGCCTAGGTGTTGTGAGGGGGTTGGGCGCCGCGCCTCGCCACAGCGCCTCAAAAACCATGACCAAGTCAAACATTGAACAGAAGTAAATTAAGGACAAATGACGATAGCTGTCAGATATCAAATACATACCGCTGTCTGGAAAATCAGAATACAAGCCAGCGGCCAACCAATATTTCATGAAGCCCTTCTTGACCCGTTTCATAAGCTCAATTATGTAATCGCCTTTACTGTTGTACTTGATACAGTTATCCCATATGAATTGCACATCCTTATATACATCCTCCGAATTCATATACTTGTCACCACGTTCCAAATTTTGACATATTGTGCCAAAATCCATAGGAGTGTCAATAACATCAAAATAATCCTACAAAGTTTCAGATGTGTTAGGGTTGGGAAACAGGTGAAGTGAACGAAATACGAATAGGCAAAAGACATATTTTCAACAGCAGTAGATCTAGAAGTATATGCTTATGCTTATATAGCTAGGTATTTGGGTTAAGACAAAGGCTAGGAGACATAAATAGAGAAATCTAATAAACATAAGGAAAACAAAAACTGCAGGTGAACTTATCCACATTTGAGGTTGCAATAGCTTTCCTTACCCTCTTATCTATGTTCCATATATCACAATATGCACCTGGGACGCAGGACTGTTGTTACAGGAAAGTTAATCTACACTGATAGTGTTTTGCTCCGAGTGTCATAAGAAAAGGTGAAGCTTTCATCCTAGTTAGATAGGCAATCACATACTAGAAGTCCAGATACTAGTACTAAGAAAAGACAAATTGAATGTACTATCCCAAGATTTAGATCTTCGCGGATGGAATTAGCAATATATGTAACACAGTCAACCCACCAGAAGACAGAGAGACTAAGGGAAAAACAACAAATTGAATACACATTTATGGGAATTGGAAACTGTATCTGAAATTCTGAACAAACAGCTTGAGTGATCAATAGTATTACCATAACTTCTCAAAGGATAAGACTACTATGTGTTATAGCCTATAGGTCATTTCATCTGGAAGGCATACAGTCTTTGGTGAAGCTTAAAAACCAGGTATTGTGCATCTTATCTAGTCAATACCGTTTAATTAACCCCCTGGGGTGGTTTTGCAGGGAGATTTTCCCTTGCTGGCATGCCACACTGGCAGACAAGCCATGCTTAACAGATGAAGAGTTGTGGTGTATTTCAAACGAAAGAAACCGCAAAGTGTAGCACAAAATACTCACAGGTATTTCTAATGCAACAGGATCCACTGGAACATTGAATGGATCAGCAGCATCCATCTTCATAACTTTCTTAATAGCCTGAGAAACAAGTGCAAACAGAGTTTCAGTATAACCTTTATTATCCAGATTCAGCATATCTCTCAGGTAAATCTCAATAGACCTCAAATAAAGGTGAGCCGAACTCTACTCACTTCAAGTGCAGCAGCCAGCTCTTTCTCGTTGCGCTGATGTTCCGGAGTTGACTGCTTTTCTTCCGACTCCTGTGAGCTCCTCAGCTCCACCACATCCTCCATTTTTTTGCTTTCCAAAAGAGCTTCCTGCTTGCTCCGAGCAGGCTCATCTGCCGAATCGGCTTTCCGATCCGGTGTGCTGTTTTCTACAGAAGGCAGCCCCGCCAACTTGATCTTAATGCCTCCTACTTTCCTTGCCACCTTCTCCTTATCCGCATCACTCGACTCCAACCCCGGCCCGTCTGTTTGCTGCCCATCCATCACGACCGCAGCCTTCTCTGCATCAGCTCTTTTGATTACTTCAGGGACAGCAGCGCTCTCCGATTTCCCAGCATCAGCAGGCGGCACTTGAGCTTCCGAAGAATCCTGCTGCTGCTGAGGGCGCAGTGGCGAGTCCACCGTCTTGGACGACTTGAACTTGAGCTTCACACGGCCGTACACAGCTCCCACCTTGGGCCTGCTGTACGTTATGTCCGCAGGAGGATTAGCCGGCGCGGTGGCGCTGGGCTTCCGAGGTGGCTCAGAAGGTTGAGGTTGAGCAGGAGGAGGAGGAGGCGGTGGTTCAGGCACTGCTACCCCCGCATCGACGACAGGCGGCGCGTTATTATTATTATTATCCTCCTCCGCCTGGTCTCGCGGGCTGTCCGACGCCTCCGTGCTGGGACTGGACGCGGAATCCGGTGAGGTGGACTCCGCCGGACCAGCCTTCTTGCGCGCCAGCTTGCGGCCACGCTTGCGCTTCATCGTGGTGCTGCGTTGCTTTTTGGTGGCGGCCAAACAGCAGCCGAGGCGGCTGGGATCGACCGACGCGGCAAAGGAACGCGCTGCAAATAAACGAGGGGGAGAAGCAAGTGTTCGGGCTCAGATTGCGCCGCGCAGGAGGCTCGGAATTCCACGGAACGGGACGATAACGGATCGCCTGGCGGACAAACCCACCGAGGCGAAGCGAAGCGAAGAGCTAGGGTTCCTTACCGGAGGAGAGGAGAGGAGGAATTCGGTCCCGGGGCCGCGACGATCTCGGACCGGCGCGCGTCCAGCAGCAGCAGGAAGAGGGAGAGCTCGGGGGACGCGCGGTGCGCGGGAAGGGAACGGGTGCGGCGGGCGGGCGGAGGTGGAGGCGGAGGCGGTCAGGCGGAGACGGAGGCGGGGGGAGAGCCAGAGAGCCCAAGCTCGTTCGGTGGCACACCGCCGGGAGGCCAGGAGGGACACAAGTCAGCGAGTAGGCCGCCTTGTAACATTACTACTGGGCTGTTGGGCCTTACGGGCCTGTACTTCGACTGCCTTTGTTTCTTCTCAAATTGGGCCTTTGATGGGCCTGATTTGTTTCGTCACAAGCTTTGGTCCCCCTGAAGCCTTTCCAAGCCCTGGATCTTATTGCTTTCTTAAAAGCAGAGTTCAATCTCGTTTGGAAAAAGGAAAAAAAAGCCTTTCCAAGCCCCTAGCTGTCCAAGCCCCTGAAGATGATCTCGTGGGCCTTGAAGAAATCCTGCAAGCAGCAGCCGATTTTGCAGTAGATAAGATAATACCTCCATCGAATGAGCACAATCAGAGAGACATCTTGAAGGTCAGTAACAAAATATCAGCAAACTCAATTGGACGGGTAGTAGGGACTAACTTAATCCAACACTAATGTTTCAGTAGACGATTTTTCCAAAAAACATTGTTAAAAAAAAATAGTAGACCGCCATTTGCATCTCCCCCTACAAAGCGAAGGTGCTCCACGACAGCTCGCAACCGGCCACGTCGCCCCAAAATCAGCCAGCCTATCCAAGTCCCCAAGATATCCCTCCCGTGGCCACCAGCGAGCCACGTCACCCAAAAATCCCCGTCCACAAGTTCCCTTCCACAAATACCTATTTTTTTTAAATTTGGTTCTTTTTTAAAAATATTCATGTTTACACCCCGGGGCGACGTAAACCGGAATTTGGACCCTGAGGGTTGGTGCGTGACATGTTGCGCCGAACTAACACGTCTCGCCGCCATGAGTCATGGCGCTGAGGTGATTGCCACAAGACAGTGGGCCTGATGATGTGTATCTGTGGCAGAACCGCCTAATCTAATGCCTCCCAGAAGTGCTTGTCTTCTATTAGACACTAGACACTCAAGGGAGGACACCAAATTACGTAGTTCCATCGGGCACACCCCAAGGAAGAACCAAAAAATTCACATTTTTACATCAGGATCACAAATGAGAGAATAAAGCTTACATCATTATTAACAATTTCTTACATCACTTTTCATGTAACATCATAGTATAATGTTTATGGTTTATAATAGCAAAATATGATCATGTTATCAAAGTTATGAACAATTTAAGTTAACAGCGGATATAAATATGTGATCAGAATTACAGCGGAAATAAATATCTATTCATGAAATGAGAAGCATTGATATATAAACTATGACAACGGATTATAAAACTTTCAGTTATAAAAATATTTAGTGAGAGTTATAAATAAAGACTATGATCGCAACGTAAAGTAAATCCTCTCTGAGTCCACCAGGAGGAATCCACACACAAAGGTCAGTTCAAGCATCCACCTGTCACCTGCAACAGGGGAAAATAAACCCTGAGTACTCAATTGTACTCAGCAAGACTTACCCGACAGGAGGAAAGAAAAGACTTCAAGGATATGCAAGGCTATCTGGCTTGTGGGTTAATTGTATCTGCAGGAAGCATTACTAAGCGTGCGTCCTCATATTCGATTTTTATTAGCAGTCGCATTAGTTCATTAACTAACCATTCTATGTAAGCACCTGTGCTACTTTCAAGTAGGTGGTAAGCAATCAGATTTCCTTTTTCCATCTTTTATCTTTCAGCTCTTACTACGATGCTAAAGTTAAGACAAATTATACCGACACGGCGGCGATTAGCGAATCAATGTTTCCAGCTAGGTACCTCGAAACACATGCCCCGCTTGTACCCTAAGCACAAGCAGGACCAACCCACTACCCTCCAGTCATGGGGTCCAGGTCCCCATCCAAACTGGGACTCCAAGCCTCAGCCCCTGAGTTCTGGACTCAGTGCGGTGTAAGGACCTCCAATACCCAAAAACCACCCTAACAGTCGGTCCAGAAAGAGCCGGAACCCATAACAAGAAAGTAACAAGTCTTCCAAGCGCCCATACCCAAGTATGTGCTCGGGATAATAAGTTTGTGACTTGCCTAGCGTCCAATGCAACGGCCGGTCCTTAACAGACACAGACAGGAAAAAATAGTGTAACCAAGCTATGCCCCGTGGCCGCAAGACACAATATCTTACATCCACCAATACCCAAACCATATCCCTGCCCGGTCACCATTCTCCTTTTCACCATTTTTATATATTCCAAGTGATAATAATACAGTAATATATTTCCTATCTCTCGCGAGTGACAGGCAATCACTCGACTTCTACCGGAGTCCTGTAGCATAGCAATCTACACGATCCTAAGACTCATAGGATAAAGATAGATATATGCAAGTGGATTTCATTCAACTCCTTAAAACTTAATGCACAAATATAATTTAAAGTGCAGAAAAGTAGGGGTTATGCATCGGGGCTTGTCTGGGTAAAATATAACCAAAAGTTAGTATTTGCATCTTTAGATCATCCACCATCATCTGAATAGAAAGCCCATTGCATCATCTCCTGGAGAGAACACCATTACACCATCTTCAGATTCCCACTCATCCTTCACTTGATCCGTTGATCCATCATCGTACCTATATGATATGCAATGCGATGCAATGCAAAGACGTAATTAATCGACTGCAATCGTGACTCGTAAAAATATAATTTACGCCTCTCAAGTTAACAAGCTAGTTCTAACGACGATCGTACTTAGGCTATATATCCATGTTGTTGAATAAGACGTTATTTCCCAACAATTATTTTAGTTATATAAATCCAAGTTGTTTCTTTATTTCACTCTATCGATTTAATCATTATTCAAAATAGGGCATCATTATCTATCTAGCAAACTAATTATTCCGAAGATACAAAAATTACAGTGAGCAGCTAATAATATTAGTAATTTACTGTAAAAAATTTAGAGCTAACATTATCACTGATTTATCACGGAAATTCCTACAAGTTCACCTTTTTAACAATATTAAGCATGTTAAAATAATTAGAGCAACCCTAAAAACATACCGAACCTAGACAAACAAAATACACTATCAGGTAGATCATGATTTTAGAAACTTAACAAACTTAGTTTGTCATTTTTATGATTTTACTATGATTTACTACGAATTTTACAAGTTTCAGTCTTTTTAAACAAAATTAGAAAAGAAAAGGGCACTTGACCCATGATGTCATGACGCCTGCTGCCCAGCGTTGAGGATGCGCGTCTTGTGAACCTGGTGATGTGACAGCCGGCCCATGACGACCACGGCCCACGAGGCGTCTGCAACCCAGCAAAGAAGCGGACCAAGGCCTACAACGTGACTCGGCACACAGGCGCGCGCGTGGCCCAGGCGGCCGACGGACCAAGTCCAGCGCGAGCAGGCCAGCCCATGGTGGGGAGAGCCCAGCGACGGCGGCACCACTTTGCGAAGACACCCCTGAGTTTTCTCGAAACTAACCCACAAGACATAAGCACTATTCACTTGAGTCACGTATTTTACACCTAGAACCCTGTATTAGCTTCTATTCACCTTTCTCACCTTCTCTTCTTCTACAGATGCAGAGCACGTTAGGGGAACACCGGCCGGCGGTGATTCGGCACAGAGGGTGGCACGGCGGTGGCAGAGAACCTACTGTAAGTGGGGCAAGGGACTTGGGACGCACACGGCCGGTGACAACGGCAGCGGTGGTGTTCTTTGTAGAAGCGAGGGCAATTTGCGGCGGGATCCTCGGCTCAAGACCGGCGGTCAAAGCGCACCTCAGACAAGAAGACGGCGAAAACCCGGCGAGGGTCATGCGGTGGCTCCGCGACGCGCGGTGGCGGGAGGCGTGGGAAAAGCGGCCTTCTGGTCGCAGAGTCAGCCCGCGGGGGGGGGGTCGACGAGGACGGGTCAGTGGCAAGGCATGGACCGGCTCGGCGAGTAGACCTAGCGAGGCACGCGTCCTTGGCGGTGCTACTGCTACCGGCGGGCATGTCGACGGCGAAAACACTCGTGCCGCTTGTTTGGTGATGGGGACGCCGACGCTCGGGGCACGGAAGGAGCCATGGGGGCGAGGAGAAGCGGCCACTGCCTTCGTGTAAAGCGCTCACAAGGAAGGAAGAGGAGGGGCGCCGGTCTTTGCACGTAGAGAGAGGCGGGCGGGGCTGCCAGCCATGGAGGAGGCAAGGGGGAGGCGAGAGCGGGGAAGCGGCGTCTGGACCTGACCAGAAGATGGCCACCACGGCGCGGTGGAGTCGCCGTGGGCTCGGTGAGAGGAAGGAGAGCGGTGGCGAAGAGGAAAGGAGTCTACTGCAGCACGGATGACTCGGTGGTGCTTTGAAAAGGTCTGTTGCACGGCTAACTGGACTCTTGTAAAGCACATGCTCGTCTTGGCATAGAGGCAGACAGCAGCGACAGGCAAGGACAATCAGAGACAGAGGCAAGCAGAGGCATTCAAGGTGCAGTAGAGATGATGCGACGAAGCTGGCAGCGACCATGAGCACGTGGCCCGATTGGCGAACAGAAAAAGACTTGGCGCGATGCAATGAATCGTAGCAGTGGGTTCGAGCGGGGTCGCACCACGTCGCCTAGCGATCAGGACGGCAGTGAGGTGCCTTGTCACCCCAGAAGCCAGGACCGACGACCACTAAGCGACGACTGCAAAGCAGCACGGATGTATGATGGGGTAGATGGATCAAGAGGCGAGGAATGCGCCACGATCACCAATGGCGATGTCACAATGGCGACGACCTGTATGCGCGCCGTCCGTCCCGGCTACGACTAACCAACATGAGATTAGGGCGCCAGGTAGCGGCAATGGGGATAGCTCGCCCGAGAAGCGGCGTCGGCAATCTTGACGCCGAGAGGCAAGACTAGAACGAGGCGGTCTTGGCGCAAAGGCGGCCGACGAGGCTATGCACACAGCGTCCCACGAGTGTGTTGTGTACGTGCGCGGCGTGCATGTATGTTGCCGTAATTTTTTTAACATGCCTAAACCGAATTAATTTCAACAACTACGCATCTCATACACTAGTCCATACATCATACTAACTCGTAGAAACAAAACATTTAGGAAGTAATTAACCCGTTGTTCAATATAATTCGTCAAAATGACACTTTTAAATATGTTACATTTTAAAATCCGAGAAAATCGTTTCGGTAAATCATCTTAGGTCTAAACTTCGGTGCTAAGCAAGCTCGTAACACCAGAGGTGTTACAGTATCCTACGTGGTAGATAGCTCGGCGTTCTGAGATCTCGGCCTTGCCGGCTTTCAAACCTTCTACTGAACCATGGCACCGACCATAGATTCAAAAAGCTACTCACATCTTTCCCTACCCGAGCATTCTTCCATTTCTCGCTCCTCCCTCTCGGTTTGTCCCTCTCCCCATCCCGCCCAACCTCTGCAATCGACATATTAGACCTTTGGAAACTTTGATTTGATCCATAGATCTTCATGAGCAAGATGTTGATGGCCACTAACACCTAGTTAGACCATCAACATTGCACCCAAAAGCAAGGTAAATCATCATCACATGTGCTAAAATTACTTTATATTTTACCTAGCTCCACTTGTACTTTGAAATATATTTGAATGCAGAAAATTTTCACAAAAATACACAAAATATGTGCATAGAAGGCAAGTGGATGTGGCAGGCCGCCTTGGGCCCACATGGTAGGGTCGCTTTAACGCCATGTGGTGTTGTCGGACGCCCCATGTGACCTGCCACGTCATTGATCCACGTGATGGGTGGTGTGGCACCCCCAGGAGGCCTCCCACGCCGTTGGTTTGAGTCGGTTTGATCCAAAGATTGAGGATCAGCTTCCTTGGATCCCAGGGCCCACCGTCATCCACTCGGAGGGCCACACCGACCTACAAACCGCCTTCTGATCAAAGTAACCCACCTACCTTCCATGCAACCGGCCATTGGGAGCCAATCAAGAACGTAGGATCAAGAGCCAATCAAAATAAGGTACAATATTTTTTCAAGCATCAAATTATTTTTTATACATATTTTTAAATATGAAACTATTATTTTTAATTATATTTTTGGAAATTATTTTATAAAAAAAATAATAATTTCATGCTTGAAAAAACTATTGTACCTTATTTTAGCAAATTATTGATAGTAGGTAGCCTAAAAGAGTATGACTCTACTATAGGCTGTTTTAGTGTTGCATTTGGCGACAGGGGTAAAAGAGTCATTTCATATTGCTTTTAACACCGTTACCTTGTCGAACTAACGGAAGGGCCAACAACCAAAAAGAAATTCGTTTTCGAATCAAATAAGCTAGTTCAATCGAAAAAGGGCTAAGAAACTGAGCATAATTTTTTTAGGGCCAAGAACAAATTTTCTCATCATTTTGGGCGGAGGGAGTAAAACGTAAGCGGCTTACTCTTTCCCCATCCACCGGGCGCCGACATCCGCACCACATCCCATCCTCGCCATTGCCGTCGATGGCGTCCGTGATCCTCCGGGCGGCTGCTCGCGCCGCCAGCTTAGCTGCGTGGGGCGCATCTCGCTGTGCGACGGCGGCGGCGGCCTCAGATCCGCTAATGTGCGCTTCCTCCGTTGCTGCAGCGGCGACCGCCCGGAGCCCCGCGTCATCTGGTAGCGTTCATCCCCCCATCGCCGCACGGCACCCTCGGAGCAGGCTCTCTCACGGCAGTGGATCCACCATCGCCCCATTACCACCACGCTTCGTCAAACCAGGTATATATACAGCTGATCTGAATCTGATCCGCACACAACACTTATGTCTGTATGTAGATTGGGCGATATTTGAGGCAGATGACAAGGACCTCGAGTCAGATCAGATGAAGCCCTATGGACCCTGTACGAGCGCTGGTGCAAGCTTTTTAACCAGGAGCGTGACCGCGACGAGATGGCTCGCCGGTTCACCTCCTTCAAGGAGACTGTGCTGTGTGTGGAGGAAAACAAGAAATCTGATCTGCCTTACAGACTTGGGATTAACCAGTTTGCCGATGGGAAACTAGCTGAACTCTACGGCAAAACTACCATACACCATATTAAGAGAATTCCTTATTCCGCTTCACCGATTTATGGGAGAGAGCACCAGATTTCTTGTTCAAGGAGAGGAGGACCCTAAGGGGCCGGGCGGCCCGCGCAACTGAAGCCTCGAATCCATGTGCATGGATGAACCGCCATGATCGTTCTCAGGATCTACAAGACCCACGAATTCGAACCTGTATTATTAAGTTATGATTATATTATTATATATATGTGTGACGTCTAGTTATTGTACGCCTATGCACGATTCGGGACCAAAGGCATGCACATGTCTTCTCTACTGAGCTGCATGTATAGTCGTGTGCACGCATGTTTGTTCGTACCAAGTTGTGTTTGTTGGTAATATTCGACTTTTAGACCTTCACCGAGGAGGCCATGCATGACATGTTCGTACCAAGTTGGAGAGTTCGAAAGGCCTCACAATCCAAATCATCTAAAGTCCACGTAACCAGAGTACTTCTAGCAGACTAGCACATAGCCAAAGTTCATCTACGTAGTAGATGCGAATACTGCTACTTGCCAACATCATAATCATGAGACGGTTTCCATAATTTTTGTTTTTTGCGGTTATTATTGACAATCGACAGATAGACAGATATCAACATAGCGCAAGTGACAGCAGGCATCAATAAGAAAAAAAAAACACGCCAAATCTGTGGATCACAATGGCTAGAGCCTCACATTTTCTGACCAGCAACCGTTCCAAGGAAAGCCGGCCGGCAACCAAAGAAAAAAGAGAACTTGTGGTAAAGCATCATGATAACATGGATCTGATTCATACTAGCACCGCTTGTTCCTAAGATGCCGTAACAATGCTGTGATGTGGAACTCTGATGCGCTGCCATGTCAAGCCAAAGAAAGAAAAGCGAGCAAAGAACATATGTACAGATCCAAGACTGAACGCAAGTCAGGAACAAAACATACTTTATTTCAAGTTGACTGACCAAAACCTTTTTTTTGGGGAGTAAAGATCAGCAGGTCCTGGAATGCATCACTGGATGGAGCAAACACATGTCTCTTTGGCTCGCACATATGTACCCAGATTGCAAAACAATTACAAAACTGAATTACCCAGATTGCACCCACATATGTACATTGCTGACAGATATAATTTCTGCAGTTCATTGACACATTTGTAGCAAAAGCCGGAGATTATCTGTTCTTCAGGTTGAAACCACAAAAAGATACATGACAAATTAGATGTGCGGTAGAAACATATGTACAACACAAACTTATACTTCCCACCATTTTCGTTTACTTGTCACCAACCTTTACTGTATCAGATTTGACCGGCCGTTTTTTCCTTCTGAAAATTCTTAGATACTTCAAAGTATATAACATTAATCAAGTATGTAAAATGAAGAATCATATATGTGAAAACTTGATGTATCTAAAAATCTTTTGCAAAAAAAAACACATGGTCAAAATTGCTACAGTAAAGTTCGGTGACAAGTAAATGAAAACGGAGGGAAGTACAAAGATCTGCCTGCTCCAAGGAGACATCTGGGACTTGGCATGCTGTGCCAGCCAGAAGGGCTGGCGAATCCATTAGCTTCAGAGAGTCCATTTGCATGACATTGATTTTGCTACCCATATCCTTGATCAAATGGAGCTTTCCAAGAAATCCAACAAGCAAGTAAGGACTGTCTGATTCGTCAAAGGTCCCAACACGTGCCTGGCTTACAGCAACCTTCCAAGTATCCTCTTGAGCATCGTACATCTTTATCTTAGAACTGTTAGAAGAAGTTGCTGGCTCCAAGGCATACAGATTGCCATCTATAACAGTGCTCAATTTCGTTCCAACCTGCCTTGCAGGCCAACCTTCACCCATGCTCGTAGGCATTTGTTCCCATGAATTTGTCTCCGGATCAAAGATCTCTCCACTAACATCAACAGCGAAGGGCCAGGAATAAAAGCTCTGAGAAACATATAGCTTCCCTCTGTATGAGGTCACTCCGGTAGCAATAGGCTTCAGTAGATCAGCTAAGGCCGTCGGCAGAGCTTGCGATTTGGAGAATAACATATCTGGCACCAAACCCCAGTTGCAGGGTCAAACACTTCAGCGGATTTTAGCGGAGCCAACCCATTCTTGTCTTGGATGATACCACCAACAACATACAGCTTGTTGTTCAACAGGCTAGTCTTGCAAAAGGCACGCCCTGTGCTCATCGGGCTCACCTCCTGCCATGAATTGACAGATGGATCATACCTCCACACGCATTTCATCGTGGAAGCTCTAGAGAACCCACCCAAAACATAGAGGCAGCCATCAGCAGCGCCGACGGCACAGCCACAGAATGGTATACTGCCTAACAATTCCCTCTGACCAAGCCAGCCTCTGATAACGTCAAAGATACTTATGCCAGCGCTCACCAGATCCCCCAAGCCCAACCCATAGACGCGGCCACTCCTGCACTCTCCTCTGCTATGACTGATCCCAGGCATGAGTGGCAGCCTCTGCCATTGGTTGCTAACCGGATCAAAAGCATGCCAAACCAGCTTCTGATCATCTGCCGTCTTCATCAGTATGTACAGCCACTCTTCGGCCACGCCAAGCTCCTTCCTCAGCCGGTACAGCTCTGCGCCAGTTATCGCCACCTTCCAGCTCCGGGAGACCATCTTGGCCTTGAGGTACCCCATCCGCGGCATCCTCGCGAGGATTTGCAGAGAGATCTCATCCGGGAGCCCCGGGATCAGCCTCGGGTGGCCGTGGCTGCAGAGAGAGGTCGAGAGCCGCATCTTCTTGGAGGAATCTGGTCGCGGAGCTTCGTCGTGCTCCCACTGCTGGTGCTGCTCCTTGCTTGCGGCGGAGCTCAAGAACGCCCCCATTTGATGTCTTCTTGGCTACCTGTATCTACAGAAATTTAATAAATAGAGTAAATAACCAGCAAACCAGTGGGCAAAGGCATAATTTAGGCAGTAAAAATGGAAGAAAAGATAGCAAAACCTACATATATAACAATTAAAAGAACCAAACATCATGACAAGAACAATATAATTCTTTGGTTCCAAATCTCAAAATACAAAGGACAGTTCACCGTAACTCGAAAGCATCGCCAAATACCCCAGGAAATAGCCAAATAAAAACAGCGGCCATGCTTGGATCGGTGGCTTTTCAAAGGAATCCAAGCCCTATGTTTGCTGGCTGGCACCACATGGTGTTTGGAACGGAGGAAATAGAATCTGCCTTAAGGTCCTGCTTCCTTATCCAAAAATCGAAATGGAGCCAAAATATCCACTACGAGCTGTTGGGAAAAAATAAAAATAAAATCATATACGTGAAGGAAGAGCTAACCAATTTAGCAATCCCATTGTGGCGCTAAAGTACAGCTCCGCCGTCGCCGGCGAGCCGCCCAGGTGGCCGTCGCCTGCCAAAGAGCTCCGGCCGCCCCCCGCCCCCCCCCCGGTCTCGCCCAGTCGCCCTGGTGCCCAGGAAGCCAGGAGCTCGCCACCGGGAGTGGGGAACAAATTGGAGTCGGGAATTTGCCGAACTGGGAAGCGTCGGGAGGGAAGGGGGGACGTTAAATTAAATATTGAGTAGAATGTATTTTCAAAATAAAAAAATCTATTAGAATTTGATTTAAATATTAGAATGTATTTTCAAAATTAAAAAATCTATTAGAATTTGACGGGAGTTGCGTGAGCCTAAAAAAATTGGACACCTATGGAAATCCAAACTTTTATAATGGCACTAAAAGAAAACACTGCTCCCTCCATTACAAACTATAGGTCGCTTTAACTCTTTTTTTTATATTCATTTTGCTATACATCTAAATATAATAATATGTCTAGATATATAGCCAAATAGATTAATCAAAAAAGTCAAAGTAATTTATAATTTGGAATGAATGTGAATATTATTTATCGCGTGGGTAGGCTAGCGGCACGAGAAAAGGCGTCGCTGCCAACGTGCACTCGAGACCGGAGCTGTTCCGCTCATAAGGCTGTCTCCAGCACGAGACCCATTGCGGCACTCAAACCCAAAATATGTCTCCAATAGAATATCTATAGCCTCCAATATAGTACCTATACGGAAGACCTATTTTGGGATGCCAGGAGAGACATAACCTAAATTTGAGTATCTTCTCTCCTAGAGACCCATATAGAAAGGGTTGTCTTTTGGATCGTGTTGTTGGAGAAGACCAAAAATGAATATTGAACCCTTTGCCTGTAGCGCTATTCAAAGAACGAATGGATCTTGTATTTTTGGTATAAGGGCATGGGCAATGGAAAGCTGCTTAGACAGGCTCTTAAAAAGAGAACATATAAGCATGTACTAATCTACAATGGAAAAATTCTTTATAAGCGCTTCGTTAGTTTGAACCCCAACAATCTATTTTGGCGCTCATCTGCCCCAACGCGGAACATATGGATATAGTAATCCTTGAGCACTTTTTGAGGCAAACCATCGACGCTTGTGGCCGGGTGCAAGCGTCCCACGAGCGTCGCTACCTAGTCAAGCGACCATGCGTTCGCGAGCGCTCGAGCCAAGTTCCAGCCAGCCAGGAAAACGAACTTAACTTCCTTTTAAGCGGCTGCAAGCTTAAATTATTCAAACTGATCACTTGAGTGAGTGGATAAAGAATGATGCGGCTGCAAACTTTCTCTTAAGGTTTTTAATCAGTGGGCCCACTTTATCTGAACAAGAAATTATTCGCGGCTCTTCTTTGATTCCTTATACACTTAGTTAAACTTGTGCTTTACCATGAAGCTGATGGTTTCTTAAAAAAGAGAGAATGGAGATACACAAGAGACCGCCACTTACAATGGTGTTGTTCGGCTGAAGGTTTCTGTGGCTGATAAGCCGGCTGATACTGTTTTATTGTGAGAGAAAAACATCGTACCATAACTGATGAGTTCAAGCGAACATGGCTATGTTTAGCGATAAAAAGAGATCGGAATAACTTATGTTCGGTTCTGTTCTATTTTCTATATTTATTCTGACTGGTTTCATATTTGTGGAAAGAAAACGAAAACCGGACAAAAAGTGGGATATTCTGTTTTTGTTCCATTACCGGCTATGGGTCCTGTTCCTATCTGCGATGATTCAAGTACGAAACAAAAACGGTTCGTATAGTATTTTGTTGTTTGTTTCTCTTTGTTCTCATCCCAAATTATGGCACGTGTTCGAATCAAACGTAACAAAAAATAATAAAAAAACTACTCTCTCTGCTCCATGGCGGTTCACTTTAATGAGTCGCATGTTGTGGGATAAGCATTTTTGCAGACGGTTGGGTAAATAAATGTGGAAAAGTGTTACCATCTACCTATAAAAAAAGGTAAATTTTGCTCAAGGATACCACTCAAACATGAAATTTGCCGTTGAACACCGTTAACTTGGTAATTGGCCTAGTATTATTATAAAAAACAAATTATTTGCCACAGAACACCACAACCATTAAAATATTCATTTCAGTGGTTTGAGAGAGAAAGAAAGGAGCGTATATTTAAATGGCTGGGGTGCCCAGTGGCAAATAATCTGATTTTTATAATAGTACTGAGCCAATTACCGAGTTGGCGACAAATTTTACGTTTGAGTGGTGTCTTTGAGCAAAATTTGCCTATAAAAATAATTTCCATAGCAATAGTTCTTGTGCTAGCTAAAACCTAAAGATGGGTTTAAAAAGGTCAAGCATGCTCCCAACCCAACGTTCGTTACTTAGAAAAGTAAGGAGGAGACGAGCTGGAAGGAAATCAAGGACGTCAACCGCAAAACTTTGGGACTAAGTAAGCTAGGAACCTGCCTTCGAGTCTTGCTCCAATAAGCTCATGCACATTTATATTGAAACAAAATCTGCTTTCGACGTTCACCAATAATACATGCTTACCTGGATTCTAGAAAGTCAAGCCACAGAGGCATACACTAGGCAGGCCATATTATATATATATATATATATATATATATATATATATATATATATATATATATATATATATATATATATCATCTTAGTGACGTAAGCCTCGAACGTGAACCAAGGGCAAAGCATAACCATTTTAAAACAATATACTCCTAGTGTAATGATTTTAAAACAAGGTACGGCCTCTTGTTTTAAAATTAAATTCAGAAAATTTTGGCTACTTTTAAGAGAGCCACCGGAATCGATCTCAAGTAATATAGCTTGAATCTTTACTATTCATATTCACAAAACAAACATAAGGGGCGAAAGGGCCTGTAGCCTAGCTAGTGGTAACCTCACCCTATCTGAAAATAAATTAAATTTTAGAGTATCAATATTTCTATAAAAATATATTTCATGGTGCATAGTTTGATATTTTAAATTAAATGTTAGTGGTCTTTTCTATAAATTTAGTCTGATTAAGACGATTAAGACAGAAGTCTTAAGATATTTTGTATAGCAATTAGTGGACGGTCTAAATTCCAGCGGGATGTGTTTGCACAGAATCATGCATATGGTCATTAGTGGCCACAGTTGATCGAGTCGAGTCGTCGGCTCACAAACAGACAGTGGCATGTTGCTTTCACCCGTCCATCTCAATCGACTCATCAAGATGTTGTCTATCAATCACCCTGCATCCCATTGATTTAATTAATTATCCTAGTCAAGTCCTACGCCAAGTGATGATAGATGGAGACAGGCCTCTCGCTACAAGTGTGTTCGGCTGGCTGGCTGGCTGGTTGCCGGCTGGCCAGCCACGTCACAGAATCACTGTTCTGTGTTTTGTTAGAGCAGTATTTTTCTCTCACAATAATTAATCGGAACAGTATTTTTTAGTTCTGCCAAACACAGCCAAGAATAGTACTCTGCTTCGTCGTCCTCGAATGTAAATTCTGGGCAGGAATCTAGACAAGCATTGTGCATACCTAGAATTATATATAAAATTCGTATGTTATTAAGGATTCATTTGACATGGCTCAAAACGGCTCTTGCTCTTTACGGTGCGTGAAGAAGCCGAAGCCGAAGCCAAAGCCAAAGCCTGTGAAAAAAAAATAATAGATTCATCAGCTTTTAGTTTATTTTAAGAGGAGAGATAAAAAAATAACTATATTTACTATAATGTATAAAAAAAAACAAGCAAGAGCCCATCAAAGCTCCACCAAATAGGGTCTAAATTTCCCATCCTTCAATCGTAGTCTAGCTAGCTACTCCCAAACATACGTTCTCAATTAATTTGCAAGTTAGCTTGCGAACAAAGAATGGTGCGACTGCAAGTTTCTCTAAGTCCTTTAATCAGTGGCCCCACTTGTCCGTTACTATAAACACAGTGTACTCCCTCCGGTTGTCTAAAACAAGTCGTTTTGAGGTTGTCTTAAGTCAAACATTTTAAACTTTGACTATAAATAATTTCTTTTGGTTTGAGTTTGAAAATATGAAAGTGATATAAGTAGATTCATCTCGAAATGTAGTTTCATAAAAGTATATATTGACTATATTTTATAAATATTTTATAGCAAAAAGTTACAGTCAAAGTCGTTTCTTAAAGACCGTGTCAATGTCCAAAACGACTTGCTTTAGAGAACCGGAGGGAGTAAATTCTAGAACAAGAAATTGTTCGTGACTCTCCTTCGATTCCTTGCACACTCGGTTGAACTTATGCTTTAGGTCTTATCATGTATTCACCTCAACCAATATGTATTGGACTGGTTTGGTGTGAAATTTAAACTAGATTCAATATCAAACCACTCCAACACATATGGATTGACGTCGATACATGAGCATCCAAATAAGCCCTTACGAGAACAATTTCTTAGATGTATTACCCTATGCCCAGGGGTTGAGTCCCCTTCTTACGGGTCAGTGGAATCTTTATGCCAAGATCCTGATTCGAGTAATCATTTATTTGGTATCACTCAAGGAGAGAGAACT